TAGACCAGGTTCTGGCTTTGTGTGAAACGAAGTTTGTCACATTAAACGTTTCAAAATGTGAATGGATGTTATTTTCTACTGTATCTGGCGTATGTCCAACAATGTCTTCAAAGATGAATGATCATATAATTCAGCGTGTTCCTCTTCTTAAACTTCTTGGCATTCGATTGACACATGATCTATCGTGGAAATGTCATATTGACAATGTAGCCTCAAATTGTCGAAAAATGTTTGGTTCTATATCCTGTGTGTCCACCATTCTCCTAATTCTCTTCGTCTTCATCTTTATAAAACCTGCATACGTCAAACTTTGGAGTACTGCTGCCTTCTATATGATACGTCTTACCTATCTCATCTCTCTGTATCAGATAACGTACAAAAGTTGGCCTGTAGAATAATCCTTAGAGATCATGACAGTTGTGTCTCGCAACCTCTCACTCGACTAAATTTAGCACTGCTCTCCACTTGAAGAAAATATTTTCGTCTTGCTTATTTTCATAAACTATACAACGGGAGAAGTGTTTTGTCTGGTAGAAACCTAATTACAGTATATTGTGAAAAATTTAGAAAAACCGTTTTCAGATGCAAAAACTTGTAAACGGTTAACTATATCTGTAATTTTTTTAAAATTCTGAGGCTTCAGTGGCCCTCTCCTCATATACACACTGGTATCCATGATGCTAAGATCATATTATTTCACGACGAGTTGTCATTTTTAATAGTAATTTGTAGAGAGTGTACGATTTTCATTAAAATCGAAGAAAAAAAAACAATTAGATAGAACATTTTTTACTTTGCGATTATTTCTATTAGATACATGGGTATAAGTTTCGAAAAACAATTCGAAGTATGAAAATATTCACAATTTATATTTACACAAGAGCGTAAAACAAAACGATGATGCAAGAATTTCCAAGATCTTGATACAAGAAGTCAAGAAATTACAAGATGTTCAAGATCTTGACTTCTTGCATTTTCGCATCAATATCTTGGTTACAAGGAGTTTCATTAGGGTAGTTCTTGTTGATGACGACAATGAATGAATCAGACCAACCGTTATGCTTGAGTGGATCGCTTTGACTGTTAGTGCTGCTGATGGGGATTGTGATGATTGTGTCAGACGAGTGTTGTGGTTTCCTAAGAACGTCGGCAATACGAAATCTAAAAGTAAAATAACATATACAAATAGATAAATGAATTTCTTAACCTTCATGATTAGTTACCTGTGCCCGTAAATAGATATTCTATGCATCCAAATAAATGGCACACATCCAATACTTCCGCAATCGATGGCGCGTTTTTACACATCTTCCAAACTATTTTGACATGATCATTGCTTGATCAATATTGAATATCGATTACCGGTTGTGCATCCGAGTAATTTCGCTTTCCTTATGTCAACCGCCGTTTGTGCTATTGTACGTGTATCGCCGATAATTCGATCTAATGCTTTAATTAACAATGCGACTTCCTCGATTTTGCCATCGTCCTCGCACACGTCTAATTTGGAAAACGCTAGGTAGCTTTCATCGCTTACCATATATTGATCGCCTTTGCTTAGATGCATACGTAACGCTAATCCATTAAAATCTGATATTATTGAAAGTGCTTGTTTATCTTCACCATTGAATTTCATGTCATACTTGTACTTACCGCTGAGCATATTAACAACTTTGTCCCATGCTTCTCGTATCGGTTTTAAATTTATCGTCTTTATGTACCGGTAATAAATTGGGAATGGAGAACAAATAACTAAACTATCTGTATGGGACAGAAAAATTTTGACTATGTAGCGACGAAAGGAAAAATTTTACATTTCTAATCATAAATGAAATCGTGCTCTGATGGGTTCATTATCTAAGAGATACGTCAGGTTTCTAGTAAAGCAAAGCTCTCTATTCAATACTCTTATTCGATACCATAAGGATATCAACAGTACAAATGCATGCTTGATGTTTGGACAAAGATCTGATAGTTTTACCTAGAAAACACGTTTTACACGAAAAAAGAAACAGTCACTTGGAACGTCAATTTTTTCTCCATAGTTTGTTGCGTAGCATTTGAGAGCTGGTGTTACAGTAACCGCCAATTTCTCTCTGTCGCAGATACAAGCGGGGTCCATGCCAACTGTGTGTGTGGAGGTGCCCACTCTCCAATAAGTTTTTCTAGCATTCTTCCGTGTATTTTGAGAAAAACTACCTTTTGATCTGCATAGCTTTAATCCCTTAAACTTCTGTCTAGCGCATGGCATCTTTCTTGGAAAGAAGTATGTTTTACAAGGGGGAAAGGCGGCTTCGGGAGCTTTCCGTAGCCGTTGAAATGCTTTCCGATGCTTGAGATGCTCAGCATCCGATGCAGAGCGGGCTCTCCAATGCTGATGCAATGCTCCGATGGTAAGAAAGAAAAAGTCGCCTTTTCCCCCTTGATAATGTTTTATCTGTTGCTTTTTTCTTTCAGCACCTCTCACTTTTGAACGATTAGAATAACTTGAGTGAACTGAAAAGACGTCTCATCTCAGATGATTGTGATATGCTGAGAAGTGATGACATCCATAGTCATGAGCATAGTAAAATGCTATAATAGCTGATTAAACAGCCTTATTACATCAAGAGGAGAGAGAACCGTGCGAAATACTCGAAAAAACCATAAATCGATATGACATTGCCAGTTCGAGAACGGATATCGAACTAGCACGAGCACTGATTCCTCCATCTTTGTCCTTCAAGGTTTGCATATAATAGAGGCGAAGGAGCTGAACTGGATAATGCACATTTGTTTAGACTTTATGTTGTTGTAACTTTATATTCGAATACTTTCCATCAACGGCACAAGTTCGTTCTGTCTCGGCGAACAGACGTGCAAATACATGGACCTGTTCTTCGACCGTTTTCCAGCGAACACATGGGACAATCTTCGCTCCTTATCATTGGATAGAATTTCCTCAGAACAACTGATCGAAGTCGTGCTGTCACATTTGTGATGCACGGCACACCTGTCGTCATTGACACTGCATATGAAATCGACCATCTCTCATAACACAAAACATGCGAATACATTCGAACGACTTCCTATCATACTCGCAAATCAGGTGAAAGATAATCACATCCTCACAAAACTTAATCTTAGAAATAACCAAATATCTGCTATCGGAGCCGAAGCAGGAGCTGAGGCATTGAAAGTGAACAATACTGTTATTCAATTTGATCTTCGAAGTAACCAAATATCTCATATACGAGCCGAATCATTGGCTGAAGCATTAAAAGTGAACAGCACTCTCATGTAATTTGGTGTTTCTGTTAACCGAATATTGGTCGAGGAGGCACGTACAGTGTACCACTACACCACAGAAACCGTATAGTGATATGTTTAGTAATTTAGTGAAAAAGTGAAGAAAAATTACTGTTTCTGTATGTTATGTGCTAATGAAACTAGTCATATAAAAACAAATTAAAATAATATTTTGTCGTTTCTCTAATTAATCATCATTTAGAGGAACATCTTTTGTTTCAGGCAACAATAACGTCAGTAAAACTATGATTAAAGATGCATTGTATAAATGACATCATCCACTGGTAAAAAATATTTTCTTATAAAAACTGACGGTCATATTTATGAACAAGAGCAAAGCAAGAGCGAAATAAACATAAAACGTAATTCGAATGTATTTTTCACCAACTGACGAATCGATCACTGGAGCAATGATCGCTCCAACTCGACTAATAGCACTGAAGAATCCATTGGCAGAACTACGAATCGATGTGGAAAATAATTCGGGCACATAAATCCATGAGACACAAATTGATCCACTAATAGCATATTTTCCTAGCTGTGCAATGATAACCGTAGGCAATGAATGTTGTTCTATCAAAAATGGAATAATCAATACACATAAGAGCGTCAACGTTGTAAATACAATAAATGCATATTTTCGACCTAATCTTGTAGTCAACAGAACACTTCCGCTAATGTATCCGGCGGCTTCTACAGTTGCTCCTATAAGAATTCCGACATAGGGCGAGATACCTTGCATAGTAGCCAATGAAAGACTACGCCAGATCATTTGAATTAGATGTTATAAGAAGTAAAGCCGATGAAAAAACTACTTTAGATTCTGCTCCTACAAATAATGCATTCTTTCCTTGCATTTGGAAAGTGGTCAACACTTTCTGACCATATAAAATATACTTCTTTTAAAAATTTTCGTAAACAAATTTCTAAGTTTTACAATGTCAAAAAATATCTCACTACCGTGTCTGTCGTATTGATAGTCTCAGTGATGTTATTTTTAACAGAATCCGCGCTAATTTTTCAACACTTAATGGTAACTTAAACCAAAGAAACTTATGCAGATCGAATACAGTAGATACAATATACTCAATTAGACTACTAATATAGACGAATAGATATTGATCTCTAGATAGAAAAGTTTTTAGTAACAGAAGATCACGATTTATGGGTAGGGGCGGGTCTGTGGTTAAGAAATTTTGCTGTAAGACAGTTTAGGGTATATTGAGGTGTCTCCGGATGCCACAAGTCTTTTTTTGTGCTGTTTTCTGATATTCTACCTTTGTGTAAAATAAATCTAGTTCAGTTCAGTTCATACAGATATAGCTTTATTCATGTTTTTACACGTGTTGCATTCTTCTTTTTCTCCATTACATTCTCTTCTGTTAGAATATTTTTATCTAGTTAAACTGAATCATTTACTCTGTTCGTCAAATACCACAATAATAATGAGGCTCTTGCACTCTTTCTCTGCGACATTAGCTCTGTTTTGATGTGTGTTCGATATGATAAATTTAGAACAATAAATATAGTTTAAAACAAGTGTTCACTTCCTGGATGATTGTCAATCACAGCGGTAATTATACATCGAAAAGAATCTCACAGTTGCACTTTTCATTTTACAGCTCTTTGGAATGAAACAAATTATATATACCTGCAAGAAGACAAAAATACCTTTCACAACTATCAATCTTTTTTTTCATTCAAACTCGACTATGTCTAATGTAACTGATCAAAATAGTACTGTTATTAATGATATACCATTTGGTTATTTAATCTGTCATATTTTTACATTGCTTAGTCTGTCTGTTGGTATTCTTATATCATCTATGACTTTATGTATTCTTATTTTCTATCGCCGTTCATACTTTGATGTAGCTACTTTACTTACATGTAATACGTGTGTAGCAAATCTTTTATTGTGCGTAACTATTGGTGATCTAATTTTATCTGGTTTATATGGCGATAGGTATTTGGGATCGGTAAACATTGTTACACCACCTAACCGATGGTGTATAACACGATATGTTTTAATGTGCGGTTTTATTGCTTCATTTTATCATTCATATATATTACAAGCTGCCAATCGTGTATTCCGTGTTATATTTTATCGACATAAATTTTTGCAAAATTATTTATTATATTTAATAACTATATCGATCCAATGGTTTATTTCATTTTTAATTATCATGCCAGTATTATTTTGGAATGTAATTTTATATTTAGAAAATGAACATTATTGTCAGGCACCATTATCATCTAATTCAACATTTTATACAGCATTTACAATTTACTTTATTCCATTATTAATTATGATACCTATGTATATTTGGATATGGTTACATATTCGTCGATCAACATCAAATACATTAAGAAAACAACAAAATTTAAGAGACTTTTTAGTATTGAAACGTTTAATTATTCAAATGAGTGTATTAATTAGTGTTGGTTTTCCAATAATGGCTATATGGATTGTTTATTTAATAACTGGTTATTTACATCCATATACACATCGTATTCAGTGGTTAACTGTATCGTTTGGTTTAGCATGTATAAGTGTAATGATCATTCTTTTAACACCAAATTTAAAAAATGTACTCTGTAATATTATTAAAAGTGTAACTAGATTACAAACAAATCGAATTATTCCAGCAGGAGAGATAATGAACCAAACACGAAACTCTGCTACAAATCTTTGTTAGAGGACTTTGTATATATGTAGTATTCAACGCGATTTTTTAGATTTTTATTACAGATACAGTTTGAAATAAATATATTCGAACCATAGGATAGAAAGTTCAATCAAAGATTTCTTGTATTTTAGTTGCGAATCTTTACAATTTTTAAAGCGTAATATTCTAAAAGTCTACAAAAGCATATGTAACCTTCGAAAATTTGAAGTATATGGAATATTCTGCAAAGTCAACGACATTGAGCATTTTTTTACTATCTTATTCATAGAACGATTAGCTTCATGACTAGAGGTAGCACATTATTGTTACTGTTACTAGTAATACAAATATTGTATATATTCCTATTACTAGTAACAGTAATACTTGCTGAGAATAGGAATATTCATAAAATTAGTATTACTTTTCAGTAAAGTAATTACAAGAATAGTCAAAACATTTTATAACGTGTTCTTGGATGAATATTTCTACCAGAAAGCTTTGAAAAGTCAGACGAACATTTTCTCTTTTTGTCCTACTGAAATTTCTACTATCCTTTTCAAATTATGAGGCCTGCAGCTGTTTGTTGAATAACTCAAGAACGGAAAAAACAAGAAGATTCAGGTTTTCATCATATAAAAGAAACAACTCTGAGTCACCTTTCTATAACAGACACTAATTCAAAACGTTTGTTGGAAGTAGGTTTCCGAGGAGATGTTTGGAAAACCAGCTCATAGCTCAAAATCTTCAAGTACGAACATTTCAATTTTTCTTCATGGATAGGTAGTCCAAAGTGTCCCGTTCAAAATGGGAGCCAGACGACACCTTGATTTCCAGTGGTTCGGGCGTGGTGTCGAACTTTCTTGGAGCGCCAGGACTCACTCAGAAAACATCAAACCTAGTTGAATACTTTAAGATGGAATTAACAGTGCCCGTTTAACAGGATTATGCGATCAAAAAACTCGAAAAACTATGTTATTGATCAAAATTTTTCTACCAGGTCAAATTTGAGTTTTATGAAAGTTGGAGTTTCCATGCCGTTTTTACACGATATATAAGTTCATAACTCAGTCAAAAACATGAGAACGCATTGAAAACATCAAGATGTATGGTACCTAGGCTGTTCTATATCCTACTTAAAACAAATCTGCAAAAAACATACTCAAAATTCTTATGGTTTTCCAAAAGGTTTATAGAAAACTTTTGATCACATAGTTTTTCGAGTTTTTTGATCGCATAATCCTGTTAAACGGGCACTGTTAATTCCATCTTAAGTCTTTTCAAAGCGTTCTGGTAGAAATATTCATCCAAGAACACGTTATAAAATGTTTTGACTATCCTTGTAATTACTTTATTGAAAAGTAATACTAATTTTATGAATATTCCTATTCTCAGCAATAGTAATACTGAAAGTATTGCTGTTACTAGTAATAGGAATACTGTTCAGTATTACAGTTACTAGTAATAGGAATATATGGAAGATTACTGTTACCAGTAACAGGAATAGCTTACAGTATTACTTTCCTCGGTAATGTAATATAGGAGTAACAGTAATACTGCCACCCCTATTCATGATGCAAATTTAGTGGACTATTCTTTATCAGATACTTCTAAGAAAAAACGCACCTAATAATGAAAAGAATACGAATGGTCGAATTCAGTTTGGATATGGTACAAAAAAGTCTAAGATGTGTGAAAACTGGTTTTGAGTAGGGTGAGTGTTCCACGAATAATCCTCTCTAAAACTGTTACTTTGTCTCATCTGTGTTGCTTTCTATTCTTGAACTTAATTTTTCATCATTAAAGAACGTTTCTCGAAGACTTGAAAACTGCTATTTTCTAATATTAGTTTGTCCTCGATACTTATGGAATTGAATGTACGAACAAATACCTTTAAAGTTTGATCTAGTGATATCTGCCAAATGTTACATTCGAAAATGCAGCTCTTCTAGAAAATTTCAATGGAAAAGTCTTATTAAACTTCATTGTTTTCATTTCTGAGAGACTGCGGTGCATTAATGACAGTGTAAAATGAAAAGCACAACTGTGAAATTCTTTCCGATGTATACTTATCGGTTTACAAGATTTACTTTCCGATAATTAATTTGCATTTTAATCAGCTTTTTTCTTATAGAAAAGGAGAGATATATGTTTTTTATTGCTTTAACGGATACTTTCCTATAATTAGACAACACATGTATAGGAATTAAGCAGTATTATATATACTTTCCATTGATTTGGAAAAAAGCATACGAGTAATTTATTAGTCGACGTACGTGAAGAATATGAAAGAAAAATAGAAAATCGAAAAACATGAAAATCAACTCTTGGAAGGACAGTGAAAATATCTAATACCAGTAGCCCTTAACAAATTTGCAATATCGATACGTCCATCGTCATAAGGCGCGGCTAATTCAAAAGAGGAGCATGTTTTTATTTTTGCCTTAAAAGCCCATCACTCGATGCAGAATTTCGTGCTGATTACGAATATCACCTTTTTAGTTCGATTTGATCACTTTTTTGGA